CAATGGCCTAACCGCTAAGGCATGCAAAACATAGGAGTACGCCTCCCCCCCCCCCCCCCCCCCCCCTCCGCTCCCCAAACGCGCCTTCTCTCTCTTTTTTTTTTTTTCGTGCTTTATACAACCCCTCCGCCGCGACACCCTGTTTTTCAACTTGTCGACTCTTGGCCCACCTCACCCTCACCACCCCGCGCGCCTGTTTTTTCGATTACTTTTTCTGGTGCTTTTCACCGCTTGCTTTTCTGGTGATTTTTCACCGCCTTCTTTTCTGGCGATTTTCGCTGCGACACAAACCTGTTCTTCAACTACAAATAGACGACTTGGAGGCCCTCCTTCGTTCCGTGGGGAACGCCGACGACCCAGATGAGTCTCCGCTCGACCTCGAAGGTCTGTCCGATCTCGGCGACTTCAGCGGTCTCGGCCGGCTCGACTTCTCCTCCGGCAAGGACGATGGTTCCGATGACGGGTCCCAGATGGAGCGGGTAGTTGGGAGGCAGGGCGAGGGTCTGGAGAACGAGGGGTCGGGTGCCGACGTGCGGGAGGTAGGTGACGACGAGGAAGAGGAGATCGTGACTGCGGCAGCAGGGTGGGTAGACGGCCCGACGAGCGATGACGAGGCCACCGGGCAAGGGGAGGAAGAGGATGAGGACGAGGACGAAGACGATGAGGAAGAGGAGAGCGGTGGTGCGGGGGATCAACCTGACTACAGCGCCAGCGGCGGTGGCAGCAGCAGCAGTAGCAGCGGAGACGGAAGCTGCAGGGACAACGCGGATGTCATGGAGGAGAACGACGGCCACCAACTACCCGACAGCGTCGGAAGTCGCAGCTCTACTGACAGCAGAAGCGGGACTGCAGCATCGAAGGACGAAGGGGAACGGCGGGAAGGTAGCAGCGCGGTGTCGCCGGCAGTGGGAGCCGAAATGCCTGTCGAGAACAACAAGGACGACCAGTCGTCCTCCTTGTCGGACGCCGGGGATACCGCCGCGGCGGGCGGGGCGAAACGGGGGCACGGCGGAGGGGACGTCGTGGGGAAGGGGGAGGAGGGGAGTGACGATGAGTCCGTGGGGGCGAACGGCGGGAGCATCGAGAGTGACGGCAATGACGGAGGCGGTTATGTCGTCGACGGTGGCGCGAAGGGCTCGGTCGATATGGACGGCGAGGGTGACGGAAGCGGCGGCGGCGGTTCCAGTGCCGGCGGCCGGAGTGACGCGGACAACGTAACGGAAGGTGGAATAGAGAGCGGGGATGTTGAAGGGGAGGGACGTGGGGGTAGCGAGGATACCCGGAGCGGGGCGCGCCGTCTTGCCGGTGGGCGAGGGCCGGCTAGTGCAGGAAGCGAAGACGGCGTGGACGAGAGCGTGGAGGGCGATGGTGACGACGGCGACGTGGAGAGCGGCAGTAGCGCTGCTGATGCCACTGCGGGCGAGACAGATAGCGAAGGTGGCGGGGGAGCAGAGAGCGGGGACGGCAGTGATGACGATGAGGCGGAGCAAGAAGAGCGTGCGGTTGGTGCGACGGCCCTAGGAAGCGGGAGCGATGACACGGACTGGAGTGGCGGGGATGACAACCGGGCGGGCGAAGCCGAGGAGAGGCTTAAGGGGGAGGAGGAGGAGGAGGAGGAGGAGGAG